TGCCACTCCGTTGTGCGACAATCCAAAAGCGATTTCCTCTCTTTCCCACGGGCACCGGCTGTCATGATCAGTGTTCGGCAAACAGGCAACCCAAGAGTTCAAGCGCCTGGAAGTGAAGAAGGCCAGAGGGATCAACATTACAAGATGGTACCAGACGACACTCGGGAGTGTCGGAGAGACCAGGATGGTCTGGGTTCTTGCCTACACTTGGTGTTGACAGACTTGCTGTTTTTCCAATCAGATGGGTCTTGGCGTTCATTCTTCTGGTCCTCAGCGAGGCTGAGCATCTCTTCATGTTCTCTGACTGTATTTCCTCTTCTGTGAGGTGCCTGTTCATGCCTCTTGCCCAGTTTTAAATTTTTTGTCTTATTGACTTCAACTCATTCTTTTTTTTTTGGTATCAGGGACTGAACTCAGGGACACTTCACCATTGAGCCACATTCCCAGCCATTTTGGGTATTTTATTTAGAGACAGGGTCTCACTGAGTAGCTTAGGATCTCGCTAATTTTCTGAGGCTGACTTTGAACTCTTGATCCTCCTGCCTCCACCTCATGAGCCACTGGGATTACAGGCATGTGTAACCTGGCTCAACACATTCATTTAAACAAATTATTTTTTGTAGTTGTAGATATACAGAATGCCTTTATTTTATTTGTTTATTTTTATGTGATGCTGAGGATTGAACCCAGTGCCTCACGCATGCTAGGCAAGCACTCTACCACTGAGCCACAGCCCAGCCCCTCAACACGTTCTTTATATAGTATATATTCATAGTCCATTATGTCTATTTAAAATATCTTTGTCTTTTCTTATTGGTTTCAAGGTGTTCTTTATATTTGATACATATGCTGTCAATTGTATATATTTAAAAATCTCCAGATCAACAGCTTGTCATTTCATCTTCTTAATTTTGTTTTTTTATTGAAAGTCTTAATGTTAATATGATAAAGTTGTATGATTCTTTTATTTCACTAGTGTTTTTTGGGGTGAATGAGTATCTTGTTTTACAAATCCTTTCTTATCATAAGGTCCAAAAGAAAGATGCATGTTTTCTTTAATTTGTAACAAGTTTTACTTTGACATTTAAGTCCCTAATCCACCTGGAGTTGGCTTTTGTGTATTTTGTGCAATATGAATCCAGCTTCCTTTCAGAAATGGAAAAATTCCACGTGGGAATGTGGCTGACCCCTTTCAAGGCCCTCTCCATAGTCACCTGCCACACCCCTCTGCTGTGTCCGTTCCCTGGACCAGCGGGTCAGGCGCTGAGCCCCCAGCTCCGTTGTTAACCTACTTCCTGCTGCCCGAGCGCCATCTGCTTTAATTCCACAGCTCCTAAGTCCCAGCATCAGACAGGGCAAATCCCCTTCTTTAATCTTCCCCCGGAACCTCTTGGTCCGCTGTGCTCCCGTATGATTTGATATGGTTAGATCCCTCAACCCCCCACCCGGGGGCCCGACTGGAGTCACAGATCAGGTTGGGAGGCCTTAGTGTCTCTGCATCAGGCCTTCCTACCCTGAAGCGGGTCCTCGCTCCTTTTATTTAGGTCCTCTTTAACTTCTTCTTTCTTTAATGGTATGATATTTTGCCTCATTCTTACTTTCTTTCATGAAAATCGTTCTTACCTTCTTTCAATTTTTGTGCTCCTGAGAACAGTGACGCTAACGTGCCTTTCCAATGGTGTGCTCCGCGTGTGCCAAGCAGTGGACTTCGCAGTCATCCTTTAGCCTCCTGCTAAACTCTCTCTCTGACGTCTACATATTTGATCGTATCTGAAGATCAGTTCAACTGATCTCCTCGTCTCCTGCTGGGGTGGGCTCTCCGGCCCTCACTGCTGGGCAGCAGTGACCACAGTAGACATCACTCTCCTTGTTTCTGGTCTCGGGGGGCTGCTGACGCTCGTCCTGTGCCGTGGCCTGCAGAGGTGTTAGCATGAATTTATGTCAGATTTCCAAAAGTTGCAACCTCCCGTCCGTTCAAACGACACTATAGTTTCCCTTCTTTCATCAGTTAATGAGGTAAATGACGTGGATATATATATATTTTTTTCTTTATTTTTTACTTGATACTAGGGATCAACCCTGGGGCGGGGGCATTTAACCAGTGAGCCACATCTCCTGCCCTTTTTATATTTTATTTAGAAACAGGGCCCTGCTAAGTTGCTGAGGCTGGCTTTGAACTTGCAATCCTCCTGCCTCAGCCTCCCAAGCTGCTGGGATTAGAGGTGCATGCCCCACACTGGGCTTCTGATATGCTTCTCTAATGTGAGACCATCCCTTGCAACCTTGAGACAGTCCTCATTCCATGTTGCATATTGTCATTTTTTCGTTCCTCCCCTCCTCCATTTGCAAGCTGGGGACAGAACCCAGGGCTCACGCGTGCTTGGTGATCACTCTGCTACTGAGCTGCACCCCCGGCCTCTGACCACCTTTTTATTCTCTGTCTTTTGTGACTACCTTTCCTTTACAGTTCTGCCCTCGGCTCTCGTCCTCCGGGGCCACGCCTGCGCTCCTCTCTGGAGCACCTGGTTTGCCTTCCCACTCTGTCCTTGGCACCTTCCTGCCACCTGTGTCGGGCCGAGCGGGCTCTCCGGGCAGCTGGCCCTGTATCACTTTTCACTCTTCTTTTGTAACACAAGCCCCTGGACCTCGATGTGTCCTTGAGGCTCACTTTGTCCCTGCCACACATCTCCCCGGCCACACTGCCCGTGTCCTGGGTTCTGCAGTGTCAAGCGTTCATTATGACGCCCTCTTTTATCCATGACTTACACAGAAGTGTTCTGTTCAGTTTCCAAATAGAAGCAGATTTTAGGGAACCTATTTGAATTGTGTTGTGGTGAGAGATTTTTTTTTCAGTTGTTGATGTACCTTTATTTTCTTATTTATTTATATGTGGTGCTGGGATGGGAACCCAGGGCCTCTCCCCTATGAGGCAGGCACTCTACCGCTGAGCTACAATGCCAGCCCGAGAGGTGTTTTTTTTTTTAATATTAGAATTTGAAATGTTTTTGGCCTAATTTGCGATTGATTTTGATCCATGTTCTACATCTAAAGGAATCTAATTTCTCTAGGAATTAGACACAGAATTCTATGCATGTCCACTAGATCAACCTTGTTATTTGAGGGAATCAATCTCTACGTGTTCACTGATTTTTTTAAATGTTATGCATGCATTGTGTGTGTGTGTGTGTGTGTGTGTGTGTGTTGCTGTGAATGATCCTGGGGCCTGGGCATGGCAGGCAGGTGCTGTCCCACGAAGCCACTCCCAGCCCATGTATTTCCTTATTCATGGGGTCTGCCTGTCCTATCTCTAGTTGCAGGTGTGTTGAACTCTCTCTGTGATGACACATCTGTCCATTTCTCCCCACATTCTGCTGGGTTTGCCTTCGGTATTTTCAGCCTTTTTTTTTTTTTAGGTGGACACAACATCTTTATTTTACTTTTATGTGGTGCTGAGATCAAACCCAGTGCCTCACACATGCTAGGTGAGCACTTTACCACTGAGCCCCTCAGCCCAATTTATTTCACACACACACACACACACACACACACACACACACACACTTAGATTTATTACAACTTTTGGATAATTTGAAAATTTTCACCAGGTAGTCACCTATTTTTTTTTTTTTTGGTACCTGTTATTGAACCCAGGGGAGGCACTGAGCCACATCCCCAGCCCTTTTCATTTTTCATTTTGAGACAGGTCTCGCTGAGTTGCTTAGGGCCTTGCTAAATTGCTGAGGCTGGCTTTGAACTTGCGATCCTCCTGCCTCAGCCTCCCAAGTCAATGGGATCACAGGCGTGCGCCACCACACCTGGCTAATCCTTTCCGTTCTCGATGGCACTTGTAAAGAACCAGATAAATTTGCATAACATCACACAGGTTTTTTCGTTGGTGTCGTCCTTCCTTTTATTTTCTACCTTTCTGGACTTTCAGGTTTGATGTGGATCTTTTCCGAACATCGCTGACCTGGGTGTTGCTTTTCCAATCCAGCCTGAGACTCTTGACAATGAGCTTCTCGACTCCTCTGCTACTCCTGTGGACCTATCTAACGGGCTCCTGCCATCTTCTGTTTCCTTTTCCACCTGCCCTACCTTCTGCTTCCTTTCCTTTCTCCTCCTCTCTCCCAGTTGATTTGGAAAACCTATGATTCCTTTCTCTTTCTTGATATAGGGATTGCACCAGGCCCCGGGGCGCTTAGCCACTGAGCCACATCCCCAGCCCTTCTTATTTTTATTTAGAGACAGGGTCTTGATGAGTCTCTTAGGGCCTCACTAAGTGGCTGAGGCTGGCTTTGAACTCGTGATCCTCCTGCCTCAGCCTCCCAGGTTGCTGGGATTTCCGGTGTGTGCCACTGTGCCAGGCTCTTCCTGGGATTCCTATTCCTTCCATTACCATGTCAAGTATCAGCGTGGATATCCACGTCACAAAACCGAAATGACACGATACACACACAGTTCTTCCCAAATGGTGCCAGGCCTTTGGCTCCTAGGTGCCCCACCTGACTTGCACAAACCGTCAAATGACCCAGGTGTGTCCCTGTGACTTCCCACGGGAGGCTGGCTGTTTCCTGCCACGTGTGCTTTGATTCCCAGACCTGGGACTTCAGGAGCGCTTTACCGACCCCTCCTCCTCGGTCTCAGCCGCCCTGGGACCACCCTCCTCTTCCCCAGCGAGCGTCTCCTCTGAACCTTGCTCCGGGGCAGGTGGCAAGGCCCCCACCACATGGTCACCCTAACGCCAGTGTCTTTAACTCCATCCAGCCTCACGTCTCTGTTCCCCTTCCGCATTTCTCCTCCGCCTCTATTTTTGTTGAATTCTGGGGAAACCTCACATGTATCTTCTCTTCTCCTGTTTTCCTTACTGTCGGGCCTGATTTTTTTAAAAACTATTTTTAGTTGTAGTGGGACACAATACCGTGGTTTTATTTATTTACTTTATGTGGTGCCGAGGCTGGAACCCAGGGCCTCCCACCAGCCCCGCCCCGCCCCGCCCCGCGGGTCCCACCCTCGGTTTTGTTCCAGGCCTGGTCCTTGCTGCTCGAAGCTCCGCGTGCGTTGGTTGGTTTTAGGAACGTGTCTGTCTGTCCGCCGCCTTCCTCTGTCTACCTCCTTAGGCGGCATCCCTTGCTCCCCCTGCGCGCGCGGTGCGGGAGCTGTCCCACCTCTGGATCTAGCGCTCGGGTCACTACAGTCCTTGGCTGTCGGACCTGTGGACCCGTCGGACCTGTGGACTTCGTGTGTCCTCAAGGTCACAGCTGGGTCCCGGACCTGGAGCCTAGTTTGGCAGTTTTCCTCCAGAGATTTGCTTTTCTTCCGCCGGTTGCCAGGATGTCCAAACTAGTCCAGAGCCACCCACGTCCTTGAATTTGTTTGCAGCTTAGGTACCTCCCCCACCGCAGCAGCGTTGCCATGGGAACCTGGCCTCCCTCTCCCTGCCCACCTGGATGCTGCTGGGCAGCAGGCCGGCCAGTTCCCTGCTCCCTGGACCTTGGGTTGCCCCAGCCCTGGCCCTGCCCCACCTCGGTGCCCCAGCACCAGGCCCTCACTCTTGCCCCTCCAGCCACTCTGGACAGGCTCAGGCTCAGGCTCATTTATTTGCTGGTGCTCTGCTTGTTTGTGTAGGGAGTTCCGCGGAATCGTCTCCTTCCTCGTAGGAGACCAGAGATGCTGCAAATGATATGCTGCACCCAGGGCTGTGGTTGTTGGGGACACCTGTCCCTTAGCATGCCCCTGGTCGTGATGCATAAGTAGAGGCCCCTTGAGTGCTGAGATTTGAACCCACTCGTGTGCAAGGAAGCCTGTGACCCCTGCTGTGCCCTGCCTTCTCACTGCTGGGTGACTGCTGCGAGGCCCACAGGGCTGGGGACACATCACAAGCTACTTGTCCTCACACCGAATGGTGTAGCTGGCTTCGCTTCCAGGGTTCTCCTGAACCCTTCAACGCTTTCCTGCACCGGCCTCACTGCCAGACCCCAAGGGGGCCCTTGGAACTGGGGGTTCTCCTCCCTGGCTGGCTGGGCTTGCCCCGCCTGAAGGTCTGCTGCTTCTGGGCTGCAGAGGGCTGCGAGACTGGGCCTGGGCTCCAGGCAGGTGGAGTCTGGCCAGGGCCTGGCAGGCTCCCTGGTGCTCAAGCGAGCCCGGGAGAGCACAGACCTTCTGCCTGGCTTGCTCAGCTCAGGCCTCCTTCTCGCATATTTCCTAGGTCATGACTGGTGCAGAGAGACCCCTAGAGAGATCAAACATCTGCCACGTGGCAAGATGACATGTAGGTTCACCTGGAAATGTGGTGAACAGGGGCTCACATGCCAAAGGCCAACACTGGATCCAACCCCGCTTCTACTGGAGACTCGTGACCTGGACAAGTGCTCTCCTCACATAAGCCTCCGTCTGCTCGTCCACACTACAGGTGCATCTTGCTCCCAGGATCAAGTGCTAACAAGGTTTGAGTGTGCTTATCCATATAAAGAGATTGGCATGTGCCCGCCACCTAATAAGTGCTCAGGGTGTGTGTGTATGTGTGTGTATGTGTGTGTGTACACGTCTGTCTGTCCCACACCGAGTTTTTCAGCAGTGCCTCTTAGGCCAGACTCTTTGCCAAGCCCTATGCACACATTGCCATAGAAGATAAGAACTTTCATTATCTGTGATTTAAAGATGAGAAAATTGAGGATTAACAAAAGCTTCCCGACTTTTCTGTGGTCCCAACCTGGTCACCTGATTCATGTCGCCAAACCCTCAACCACCTACTCCCGAGCCTGACTCATGCTTGGAATGACTGTATTGAATCAGAAAGCCCCGGCACTCAGGCCCCACCTGGTGCTGTGGCCACACCATTCTGGTGTGGGTTGCTTCTCCAGCCTTCCTGTGAGCCCTCCCACGGGCAGGTGCTGCTGGCCCTAGGACAGTGGTGGACAGCCAGGTGCTGAAGGCAAAGCCAGGCCACCAAGAAAGGTGCTCTGAGGCCTTGCCCAGAGGAACCCCAGCCTCTGCCAAAGCCCAGGCCCCCTCCTCACTAGCCACATCCTGGCCTCCTGGCTGTCCCCCCTCCAGCCTCCCACCCCAGCAGGGGTCACCTCCTGGTCCTGCCAAGCCAGCCCAGTCCTGTTTTCTCAAGCTGGCTGAAGAAACAAGCGGAGCCCTGGGTCTTCCTGCTGGAATAACCCCTTCCTTCCCAGGGCAGCTCCTCTGCACTTGGCCGGAAAGGAGGAGGCCCTTTCTTTCCTTCCAGGAGACACCAGTTTGGAATGTGCCCCTGATAAGGGGGCTTGAGAGGGGGGGGGGCTGGGCTGGGCAGAGATGTGTGTGACTGACTGATAAGAGTTTTACATGCTGTGGGCAGGATCTGGGGAGGGGCCCTAGTGTGTGCACAGGGAAGGGGAGGGAGGGAGACCCAGGAGGTCCCCAGGGGCGCCCAGGGTCAGGGAGCAGTGAGGAGAGGAATGTGCAGGTGTGAAATGCCTTCCTCCACCCGGCAGGTGCTGGATGAAGGATGAGTCCAGAGGCCAGGCCAGCAGCCAGGAGGGGGTTGGGTGGGGGACACAGGGCAGGCTCTGGAGCCTGGGGTGGAAGGTGCACAAGGCTGAAGAGCCAGGCACCAGGACCGGCTCCCGGGCTCCTGTCTTCTGGTTTATCCACTTGATTCTCTGACTGGCCCCTTCTGCTGTGGTGGCCACCGGGTGGACCCCTCCACCCGAGTCCAGGCACTCTTCCCATCAGTGTCCACCCTAATTCCAGTTGTCTGGGAGAAGTCAGACTCTGGAGCCCCGAGAAGGCAGGCAGTGAGCTCTGTGAGAGTGGACAGTGCTGCCTCCCTCTGCAGGAGCCCAGGCTTCCAGGACAGGGCTGGACACAGAGGAGGCCCTCGACAAAGCCAATTCAGGAAGAGTGCTTGCCTCCACCTGCACCCACTGGAGGGACTTTTCCAAGACCACATGGTGACCAGATCTGAGGGCCCCAGCCAGGGGTGGGCAGTGTGGGCAGGAGGGAGAAGGCACTGGGAATCAAGAGTATCCCCACCTGGCTTGGCCCCTGGGTCTTGTGATGCTGAAACTCAAGAGCCCCCTGGCTCAGCAGGATATTAATAAGCCTGGCCACCTCCCAGGGGTCAGCTCCTCCGCCAGGGGCCAACAGGATTCCCAGCCCTAGGTCTGGGATCTCCCTCTCCACGTCTGCAGCCTCTGGCTCCTGGCCCAGCCCCCCACTGGCCACTCTACAACTTCTCTCAGAAGCAATTCATGCGAGGAAGACCCCTCCCCACCTCTGAGCAGGCCTGAACACAGCTCACTGAGCCCAAGGGAACCACTTGGAAGGAACCCAAGAGAAGACTGGGCTGAGCACGGGTTGGGGAGGGGAGCCAGGGGCGCACATCTGGGCTCTGAGGTTGGGCTCAATCTGCAGCTCTTGTTCCTACTGTGGGTGACCCACGACCAATCACCTAATAACACTGAGCCTTGGTTGCTTAGCCTGTAAAGTGGGGCCCGACTGGAGTATCTGGTTCCTGGTTTTGCTGTGAGGGCCAAGTGAGGTAGTTGTCACAAAGGGCAAGCCTAGGGGATGAGCCGGCCACCCCCTGTCATCCCCATCTGGGATCCTGGCGGACCTTCCTCTTGGTCCACCCAGACTCGGTTTCTGTCCCGCTGCTCCCTCTAGTGGGAGAGATGGTTATTGCAGGGGCTCCCTACCAGGTGGTATGGGGCTTCCCACCATCTCCTCCATGATCAACTTAAACTCATGGCCTCTGCTATGTATGCACCAGCAGGGTAGGTCAGAAGTGGACAAGAAGAAGGGAGGCTCACTCCTCTCCTTTTGGAAACTCAGAGGACATGGCAGCCTGGTTTGGGTGTCCATGAGACAAGTGCAGCCCCGAGTCCGACCTCCTCCAGCCCGGACAAGGCACAACCTCCGTGAATTCCAGAGTGCTCTTCTGTAAATGGGACCACAAAGCCTTCATAGGTTCATTGGAAAGGGGCGGGAAGAGCCAGCAGGAAGGTTGTGCGACTAGATTTGGGGTGGAGGGAGGCTTTGTCTGCGTTAGTAGATCTGGGAGCTAGCAAAGGCCCGACAGTTCAGGGATACGGTGCCCGGGGTAGGCAGAGGAGCACAGAGAGGGCTGGACTCTGTGCTTCCTGCAGTAGGCCAAGAAGGGGGCCAGCTGACCCAGACGGGTGGGGGATGCAAATGCGGGCCTCTAAGCTAAGACCCAGCACCCACATTGGCTTGGGCCCGAGTTGAGGGTGGGTGTGGCAGTTGATCTCTTGCCCTGAGGAAAACCCGGGCAGCAGCCCCGGGTCTGAGAGCCCCGTGTTCTCACTGCTACCGGTTGTCTTTGCTTACAGACTGTTGGATCAAACCATGTCCCCCCAAAAAGATAAGTTGGAGTCCTAACCCCTAGGGCCTCAGAATGTGACCTTATTTGGTCTTGACAGAGAAAATCAAGTTAAGAGGAGGTCATTAGTGAGTCCTTATAAAAGGAGGAGCAAGAACAAGGACAGGCATGTGCAGAGGGTGTGACAATGGGGGTGGCAATGACACCCCTCCAGCCAAGGAGCGAGGCCACCAGCTCAGTGGGCAGGACGGGCCCTTCCCCAGCACCTGCAGAGGCACAGGCCCTGCTGACCCCCAGACCTTGGACTTCCAGCCTCCCAAGCTGCCAGGCAGCCATTTCTGTGTGTCAGCCACCGGCTGGGGGAACTCTGTAGCAGCCCCGACAAACTAATACAGAGCTCTGGCAACGCGCTGAAGACAGGAAGCATATTAAAAGTCATGAGTTCATATTGACATCTCTTGCTCAAATTCAAAATCCCAGAACCTTTTTTTAACTTTTTCTTTTATATTTATATCTCTTTTCTCTTACATATTTATGTCCTTTAACCTACGATATATATAAAATGGTTTCAAACTTAAAAAAAAAAAAAGAAAAATCCCAACCTAACAGCTTTTGTTCTTCCCCCAAATTCTCACAAAGCTCAAAACTCCCCTAACTCATTTCTCAGTTCAAATGTCAGCCCCCCGAGAGGCCTGACCTCCCACCCTGGTCATCGTCCACCACAGGCTCAGGGTGACCCAACACATATTGATTTGTTATTTACTGTCTGCCTCCCTTCCAGAATGTCAGCTCTTGCAAGCAGGGACTTCTCCCTGCTTGGTTCTCTTGCTATAGCCCTGTGCCTGAAACAGGCGGGGACATGGCTGGCATTGATAAATATTTATAGGCAGGACGGAAAGATGGATGATTGGGCACGGTCCTCTTCTTTGCTGAGCTGACCCCACACGTGTGCCAGCCTCATTTCTGTAACTTTCCATAGGCTCTGGGTCACCTGTTGCAAATAAAAGCAGATATGGACAACCAGCCCCACAGCATGCTGGGGCCATAGCTTGGAAGTCCCTGGCTACTGCATCACCTCGGACTTAGGATGCCTTTCCACTGAGACATACAGGCTGCACTTGTGCCAGGGAGGACGGAGGCCCATGGACACTCTCGGGTCCAGCTTTTCAGGAAACCCTGGGCTCTGGGTGCCAAGACCAGGCTGCCCTGAGGGCTGCCCCAGCTGAGGGTGCCTCACTGTGACAGCCACTCTGGCTGCCCTGTAGCGTGGCTTACATGTTCTAGGGCATTGTTGGCTTTGTCTGCTGCATAGATCCCTCCTGGAGCATGGGAAACCTGTGCCCAGAGCTGGCTTACAGCAAGCACTCAATAAATGCTCCATCTGGGGAAATGACTGGAGGCACATGGACAAAGATGCCCCCTCTTGCTCTTCCTTGAAACTTGTGAGGACACAGGTGTGGCAAACAGGAGGCAGGGAGCCTGGCCTCCAAGGGGAAGGCAGGACATGAAAATCCTGTGTAACAGCCTGACTTAGGTTACAGCCATGAGCAGTTGGGGTCCTTGGTGATGGTGCAGAGTGACCTTGGAGAGCAGGACCAGACCCCAGGGCTGCATGCTCTATGCACAAGGGGAAGAGTGGAAACCAGGAAAGACTAGCCTCAGCAATTCCTGCTGCCTCCCTGCGTGCTTGTGCCTGGCTGTGGTCCCGGGGTCTGCCTGCCCTTGCATGGCTTCCCCCATGTGGGGCCCAGGTGAGTCTTATTCAATCCACTCAATGAATTTTAGCTGAGCTCCTATTTGTGCCAGACTCTGTCTGGGCTCATGCTGGGAAATGGAGGGGACCCTGGCAGCGGTCCCTCCACGCCTTAGGGTCCAGTACCAGCCACAGATGTATGAAGTTGAACACAGCCAGGCCTTGTGGCGCCCCCTTCTGGCCGGCCTCGGTGTAGTACTCCAATCAGTGCACCGGCTTCAGGTGCCTAAAAAACGCGCCTGTTTGCTGGAAATAGGGGCCAGCGCAGGAGCCACGGCAGACTCGCGGGAGCCCCTTGCTGCCCAGCGTCTTCCTCGCAGCCCGCGCTCTCCCTGCCCTGGGATCTGTCCCGCTGTACACCCGGCCTCCCAGCCCGGCTCCTCCCTGGGCATCTCCACCTGTTCCTTCTGCAAGTCACAGCGAAGCTCCCGGAGCCTGCGCGGCGTCACAGGATCCCGGCAACCGGGAAGCCAGAGGTGGCAGGCACTTGCATGTCACATAGTGGACGTGCCCGTTGCAGAAGAAAGTAAATTGAGTGCTACAGCTTGGAAAGGACAGAGGACCCGGGACGTGAATCCACCGGCACCCAGCCGGGGACCCTGCCCTGCACCGGTGCCCAGGTCCTGGGGGAAGCAGCGTTTGGCGCCAAGCCGAGGATGGCGGGGGGTTTCCCTGGAGGCTGGGAGCTGAGCAGGAGCGGCATTGCCAGGAGACACCCATCCTCCCTGTGCACGCTGCAGGGCGGCGGGAGCTGGTTTAGGAACCGCCCGTGGCTGCTTGGAGATGGCCTCAAAGCCAGGGGGTTGGTGGACAAGACAAGAAAGCCCAGAGGTCAGGAAGGACAGGAAGAGGAGCCACCTGCAGAGGTGACCATAGCACACTGTACAGAATTGTATTTGAATTTTTATGGAGCCACTTAAGGTCACAGCATGATTGGTTGGAAGGGGGTTTTTAAACAGTTTTTATTGTAAATAACTGATTCACACAGTTAAGTGTTTTAATCCATAAGTTCCCCATTCCCCTCTCTCCCTCCACCACCTCTCTCCTCCCTCTGAAATTGGTGGAGAAACATAGTTCTTTGTCTATCCTAGGAAGTTTCCC